GGCCGCTGTTGCAGAGGTGTGGATTGGCTGTTCCCCGCAGGAGCATCCTGAAACTCATGGAATCCTGGCTAGACCGCCTCAGACTGGAGGCACTGTCCTCGGCAGCTACAAGTCCGCATGGACAGTCAGTGTTTGGAAACGGGACAGAAAGCAAACGAAGGCGAGCAAACGAAGGCGAGAAGTAATCAGGATGACTTAGTATAAGTATGAGGAGCGCGGTAACTGAAACCATGGTTTCTGATGCTTCTGCTGTGGGTAGGGACCACTGGGCTGACGTGTCTGAAGGTCTGCTCTCCGTCCATCCAAACGCAGATCTCAGCTCATGAAGTTCGCATGAAGTGCCTCCACACAGAACCAGTCATGGAGCATGCCGGCCACCTGCGCCACCCGTGCTGCCAAAACCATCTGCAAACAATATATCTCTCTCTCCTATCTGTTCCGATTCCGACGTCGCCCCGCGAGGTTTGCCCGACAGTATAATATTGTCGGTTGAGACGCCGATTCTGAACCTCCCACCAGGATATCTTACAACACGCGTGGCGGCAAATCTGCGTGAGCCAAGTTCACAACAGCGAGATGAGCAGTCCGGTTCAGGCACCCGGCACCTCAACCCGGAGGATGCGCGAGGTGTGTCGTGAGGCCTCAATGTAGCAGCCGTGGAAGCAAGGCGTAGGCTCTACAACCATGGCATGGGACACGGAGTTCGTGGCGTGGACCTGATTCCCTTAAGTTTCTCTACACGAAAATGGAAGTAACCACCGTCGAACTGAGACTTGGAGCTGGTAAAGTTGCGAAGGAAGAACAAAACACACGGCAGGCAGAGACTACATCCGAAAACCTTGTGCTTTGTTCGTCGCTAATAAGACTTTGCATGCGAGGATGGCATGCGAGTAGGAGACGTTGGCATGGGGTCAGCTAGCTGTCGTGCCATGTTAGAGAAAACTCAGAGGGGGGGTGGCCGTTGCCTCTGGCAGGTGAACTCTTGAGGTGGTGAAGACTGCAAAGCGCCAGGCCTTGCTGAACTCCGACTCCAGCTCCGAGGGTGGCCTGTAAGGCGAGGCGACTCTAAGACTCTAGAGTTCAGGCATGCCTGCGCGAAGTGAGTGTGTGGGCATGGGACTTGGAAAGGATGTGGGCGAAGGCGACTGCTGAAGTCTGGAGTTGCACTGGACACTTCTCAGCTAGGGTTCTATGCTGCATCATGCCATGGAAGATTAATCATATGATGTTCCTGCGAGTTGCAAAGGCTCGAGTTACTTTAAGTTTTACAACTTAACCCTGGATACAGCCTCGGTATACCTCGGTCGTAAGATTCGAACATGCTCTGGAACTGTTCCAAGTACTGAACTTGCTCCAGCTGCCTGGCCGCTGCAGCTGGTGATGAACGCTCGGCATCGGCAATGAGCTTAGCCAGACCTTCCCAGAGAGGCCAAAAAATCGGCACCCTTGCAGTGATGTATCCTTCTCTGTGGCCTTTATGTGACTTTGCTGCAAGCGACCGAGAGCCCAACTCATGACCATTGCCTAGCCATCTTCCCAGAGAGCCCAATACCCCTTAATTAAGGAAAATACCTTAAACTATATTATAAGGACCTTAATATTAGGATTTAAGGTATTTTCCTTAATTAAGGGGTATTGGGTTCTCTGGGTTTCCTTTCATGGGCCAGGCCCGTGGAGGAGATGAAGGAGATTAGGAAGCTCCTCAAAAGGCTCTGCAGCTTTCCTCTGAAGCTTAAAAGGAGGCTGCCGGTCGGCTTGAATTAGGCAAGACAAGACCCACAGAAGGGGCGTTGGTTTCCCGTTTGCTACCTGCGAGGTGTTTTTTGTACATGTCTGCGAGCAGCCAAAGTCATCAGCTCGGGCCGGTGCAATTGAGCTACTGGAGAAAGAGCAATCAGAATACGACAAAGGCAAGTGAACTGCAGCCTGAGACCCTACACCGAAGACGTCCCAAACGCCGCAACTCGCAGCCTTTTTCGGAGGAACCGTGTTGCAACGACCGCAAGCCAAGTGCCGCCGTATGCAAGACAGTACGCACCACCGGCCAGCACGAGATCCGGGCGCAGAGTCGGGTTTCTCTCGTGTCACGGTGCAATTCAAGCCAGAAATGATTCTGCCTCTTGGCCTCGTTGAGGTTAGAAGCTTCTGGTGCTGGTGATCCGTGATCGCCGGTGGTGGGCTCTAGGAACCCCTTGGCTAACTCCAGGACTCTGGGAAGAGCGTCCCATCGGGCATGAACACTGCCTTCGCAACTTCTCGCAATCGTCTCTCAGGAGGCAGCCATTCCATCAGTACGCATGAAAACGACGCTGCAGTAGGATCACCGTGAAGTGGTTTTTGCAAATTAGCCCTGAGCCTGCCTTGCCAAACACAAGAAAGCTTCTATGGATTGCCCCTTTCAGTTGAGTCTGTCCATGCGAATCCAAGGCTGAATGGCCTACCAAAGCTTGAGTTTAGGTGATCTTCAGGCGGTTGGGCTGTGTGTCCAGACAGAGTCTTGGAGTATGCCTTATCTGAAAAAGATAATTGGGCGCTCTGTTCAGCCTACGCCATGCTTTGCACAGGTGAAATCCTGTCGCAATGCGGCGGCATCACTCCGCCCATGTTTGATGTACGACTCGACCAACTGCAGACACAGTCTGAGGGAAGCAGTTCGAGGCACATGCCAGCTGAACAGATGGAAAGATGTCTGAGGCAAAGTGCATCCACGGGGGGCGTAACTCGCCACTGTGCAGTGCCGGCAAAGATCACCCTGGCAAGAGCTCCCGGAAACATCATCAACAACCACATAAATATACTTTGGCTGCTGCACATTTGCTCATGAGTATCCATCCCCAGTTTGGACACACTGCCTGCATCTCGGTGCAGTCTGGAAAAGAATTCTTCAAGAGTTTCCATCATTCTGCTCCGATGAACAGACTTTTGAGTGTCTTTTGCACAGGTCTTAACCGGCATCTTCTGAAATTTGTGGTCGAAGCAGGCTGACGGAAGCTCCCAAAAAGAGATTACTGCCTGTGCGTCTGGGCCCTTGGCACTGTGACTGTGCAACCTTGGCCTGCAACCCCCAGAAGGTGCAAGGAGCAACAGCCCAGGAAAGTCCAAGGGGAAAAGCCCCACATCCGGCAGAACAGGCCACGCATGCCCTAAACCCTATAAACCCTATAAGCCCTATAAACCCTACAAGCCCTATATCTATATTTATATATCTATCTATATATATATATATCATTCTACCCAACAAAGTCTGAGTGCCCGGCCTCTGACAGCAACAGCTGCACACGAGCCTACCAGAAAGATACCTGTAACTGCCATCATTAATAATAGTAACAATAATAACAATAATATTAATAATAATCATACATAATAAAAATAATAATAATCATCATCATCATCATGCGGTTTAGAAGTAGTCGAGCTTTGGTATCCGTGTATCGATGCACGCACACGAACCCTCCCATGCTGCACGAGAGCCTTAGAGATCATAGAGGCGCTGCTATGTACTTCTGATCTTTCGGTACCAAAATGCGGAGCTTGAGTATGTAGGCAAGAGTTCTCTTTGAGGAGCTTTTCGCTTGCTACCAACAGCTCGACATGGTATCTAGTGCTTGTAAGTTTGTAGGTGCAGAAGCCCTCTCCTCATACTAAGATACAGACAGGAGCTCTCGTATTCCTTGCTAGAGGGACTCTCTTCTGCGTTCCCAAATCCGAGAGACAAACCCTTGTCCTGTAATGTGCAACCGTCAGGCGGCATTAGACAACAAGTGCCAAAGCAAAGGGTGTGGGCCACGGCGGACCTTTTCTCTTCTACCTACAGAGAGAGAGAGAGAGAGAGATATATATATATATGCACACACACGCACGTGAGTACATGCATGCAAGAAGTTGTATTCGCATAGTCGCAAATGTATGTGTGTATTTAAAAGTCTCCGTGTGTCTCTGTGCATGCATACGTATGTATGTTTGTATGCATGCAGGTAACATTAAAATGTATGGGCTATGCACGCATATATGTTTACACATGTATGTACGCATATACATAACTGTGCGTGTATACATATGTGTATATGTATATATAGATGTGTATGCCCACATACACACATATAGATACAAACAAACAAACAAACATACATACATACATACATTCCTACATACATACATACCTACTTACTTACTTACTTACTTACTTACTTACTTACTTACTTACTTACTTACATACTATCTATATATATATATATAGACACAGATACATATTAACGTCCATGTATGCATGCATCATGCCCACATAGACACGTGTATGTGTACACAACATGATCTGCGTCCACAGTGTCATAGTTCTTAGTTCCAAGTGAAGAAAGAACAAAGTGGCCCGACCAGAACCAGCACGAACAGCACTGGAAGGACAAGCACTGACGGTATGACGTGAAGAACAGTGGTCCTGACACGAGTCATGTCACCATGAAGATGGACATATGTTGACATCCATGAAGCATCATGATGAACATACATGAACAACAAGCCCGGCTATACTGCGATGAAGCAAGATACAGTAACAACCCCAAAGAGATTCTTGCAGTAAGAGCATGTGGGGTCAACTCGACAATGCCTTTAGTATTATGGTGTCACAAACACCGAATTATTCAAGTACCAACGTCCCCCTGATTCAAGGCCCTGTGATATTTCCTAAACCTGGCATCGTGACAGGGCTGTGTTCGGGTCTTACGACATGATGTTACCACAACACCACACACAGTCATAATGGCATCATGCTCCTATCTTTCACTTGTATCTGGGTATTCAATTATCGCAACACTGAAACATTCGACTGTATCTTGTTCTGGCAGCGAGGGATGTGTTTCAATAAATCCCTTTGGGTCACAGAATTTAAAGAGTATGGTATAGTATAGTAACGGAAAAGAACAGCATCGCATAGTAATGACCTGAAGATCCTCACAAGCTCCCGACGCGTGGCCCACTCTGCCACGGAGATCCGAGCCCAGTCCCTACGAGTATGCCAGCTCGACTTTAGCGGCAGGCCCTGTCAAATACAAATTCGAGTACTCGGCCACTGGAATCTCCTGCATCAGAATTCCGGGATCGTCGGCTGTCTCTAGCTTTGTCAACGGCACTGCACGCATGCCAGCTTCACTCAGTCATGAAGCTACAGCCCTGCAAGGACCTCCTTGGGCTGCTTCACGACCCGCCGCGTGTAGCAGTAGTTGATGACCTATCAGATAAAACTGGTCGTGGGCCAGCATGCCACCGACAAGTTCTTGACTTTCCACACCACCTCCATGACGATGGCGACCAACAGGAATGCCTGGTGGCAAGCAAGGCAGGTGCAAACTGCAGGTCTTCTTCAAAGGAGCTCAGGTGTGTAAAGAAGCTCCAGATGACTCAGCCACTTATCCCCTGACCTCCAGTGCGACGATATACTATAACCGTTCTAGTTTGTAAGCCTCCTTTGGTCCCCGCCGCCTTCAAGACCGAGAAATCTTTCTCCCGGGCCACCAGCACCGTAAAGCCATAGGTCACAACCAAGGAAGCCGCATTGCAGATGTTCCTCGAGGAGACTGGTGCGAAGGAGTTAAGAACTTCAGGTGAATGTCTCCATGCATTGTGCAGCACTGCCTTTGTCACGATTCGAATATGCAAGTGCGGGATTCGCAGTGGCACGGGATGTCGTGCAGTTGCTTGCTCTCCACTCCGCATGCCCTCTGGCAAAAAGGCTAACATGGCAACGCTTCTGTCATGCACTCATTCCAAGACCCTTCCGTCTCCCCTAGTTGAATGGCAAGATGCTTGACCAACGAATCGAAGTGCTTGACACACAAGCCTAAGCTTGTGACATCGAGCGGCAACAGAAGGCTGCTGGGCTTCAAGAAGCTTTACTGCAACGTGCACATCGGCCGCTTTCTTGCCTCGACCCAGGCCTTTTTGGGCATCCTACTTCCATGCTTTTGTTTAGCGATCTTGAGACGGGGCATGCAACCTTAAGCCCTAAACCCTGAATCGAACTCCATGGAGTCTGTCAAGAAAAGGTCCAGCATTGTGGTTGAGAGACAGACCATTCATGGCAGGACCATGCTGCCATGAATATCGCAAACAACTTGAGCTCATCAAAAACTAGTAGCATAGTATGGTAGAGTCTAGTCTAGTCTAGAATAGTATAGTGAATATGGGAAGGAAGGTGGAAATGTCAGCTTGAAGCACGAGCGGCTGCAGATCCACTCCCGCCAACAGTACATCGCGGCCACGATCATAGTTTTTCTGGACCACGAGCCGTCCTGCCCACCTGAGGCGTGGCAAGTCGTCGCGACTGTGCTCAGGATTCTTTTCAGGAAATTTTGACGGAAAGACTGCGTGAAGAGCGAGGCTGCATCTTCAACACATCTGGACATGCCTGGCCCTGGTGGGCACTTAGAAAAGGGAGCCGGGCTGAAGCCACGATCTCCTACCTCCGAAGGAGATCGCAAAAGCATGCAAAAACAGCTTGCAACCGAGCTGCTAAAAAATTGTGTTGGATCCTCGTTCTGCACCCCGCATATGAACAAATATGCGGTTGTAGCTGCGATGATGCTGCTGAAGGACACCTTCCGGGATCGGGATCGGGAGGCCACAGGACTCACAAAACCTACTGCTGTGCAGTAATTATTAATCATAGTATAATGGGTCCCCAAACCCTAATTCTAATTATTAAGGCCTCTATATTAGCATGGCAACTGATTGAGCTGCCCCAAATGATGACGGAAAGGTCCGACTTCGGCTTCTACCGCCCAGTCGGTGTATTTGTCGCTGGGGAGCTCGTCGGGGCATAGCTGACTTCGGCATTCCCAGAATGGCTCAAGCAAATATAATATAGTATAATATAATGTAATACAATATAATATAATATAGTATCATATAATATAATATAGTACTATATATATATATATATTTCTGGACGCCTTTTTTCGGCATGCTCGGCCCAGTTGCGAGCGCGCCTGCGTCATCTGAACGTGGAGTCGCGTGGGCTCGCCAGCACCAGACTTGAAGCACATCTCCACGTAAACCTAAGCACTCTTGAAAGCTGACTGGACTCAGCAAGCCGCCTACGAGTAGCAAAGCACGGATTTTCAAAGTCAGGATTGATTTCGGATGTACATGACGTGGCGCGGTGAAGTTCAAGATCCTGTCGGAACTGCGAGAAGCTCGCAGTAGCGAGTTAGAAATCTGCACATGGGTCCCAATTCATCGGGCTCAAGAGAAAGCCTAAGCCAAAGAGACAGGATGCAGGATTTCAGAGTCGCAATGGGTCGCCCAGCTACAGAGATGAGACGCCGTGCACCTGACCTTCGCGATTTGATGCGGCTTCTTTGGCTGTTTGTGCAGGTTCTGGGGCTCTGTGATGCCAGGTGGCTGAGCTAAGCACGGAGAGGGTTACCTGGCCGGATACAGCAGCTATTGTGCCGAGACTGGATGCCCCCCTCTGTCTCTCTCTCTCTCCCTCTCCCTCCCGGGCATGGGGGTCGATCAAGACCCCCGGGCAAAGATGCCCACCCGCATGTGTTATGCAGGATATGGGATGTGAAGAACGAGTATAATGCATCCTGGAAGCTAAAGCCATAGAGTGTACGATAGAGGACAAAGGATGCGTGTATACTCTGGATGCCTGTCTCACTGTCTCTCGTTCTTTCGCCAGGGTCATGGTGGCAAGTTGCCTCTCCCTCTTCCGAGAGGTTGAGTACTTAGTCCCTGCTTGCTGAAGAGATGTCTACACTTTGGTGAGGATTACTGGATAGTCGCCCCCCCTCTTGACTCTAGCAAGAAGTGCAAGTAGCTCTCGAACCAATTCTGGCACAGCGGCCACCATTCGTGCTTCAATCACGTCAACAGCCCAAACCTTCAGCTCCTGATGTACTGGACTCATACAACTGTGCAGCAACATGGGCCTTGCACATTGCAAAGAGCACCCCGGCAAGCTGCTCCTGGGAAATATGGGCGTCGCTGGCATTCCCACTTCACACATCTCTGCGACTTGAGGCTTGCTGCGTGGCTCTGGTCAAGCTGCGCCAGAGCAACGGTTTACGGTTTAGGGGCTTAGGGGTTTAGGGTTTTAGGGCTCCATGTTATCCTCGACTTTAGAATCTGCATGCGAACTCTGCTACTGCAAGACTGCAAGACCCTCGGAGGCTCCTGCGTCTCATCTTCCGGCAAGGGAGAGTGGCGCTTTAACTGCGGTGTGGCAGGGGAAGACGGGGCGGCGACTTAGCAAGGCCCTGACTGACTACGACTTGCCAATTCAGGACGAGCTGGCCAGTTAAATTCTCGCGTCCCGCGGATGCATATCCCGACGTTCTGTTACGTGCGGTGTCTGATGGGCCTACAGCAACAACCCCGACAGCCATGCACATGCATGAGCTCGTTTTTGTGTTGAACTCCGCAAAAAGCGGTTGGGATTTCCTTGGTTTTCTGGCAGCATTAGAGGTGGAATCATTCATGCTGCGATATCAAGGACAAGATGTCCCCATCAAGGTCATGTGCAAGGCTTAGCAGAACATCACCGGCACCCATAAAGCACTGTGAAACACATGAGACATGAGCAGAGGGCCCTCAACCGTTCAGAGGCCCTACCGGTAATGTCTATGGAAGAACATGTTTGCAAGATGAGCTTGAAATACTGCTGAGCACAGTTCGAGCAATGGCAGCATACTTGCAGCAAAATGAAGCAATAATGGATCCACTGCTTGAACATGTGCACACATTGTTGACTCGGCTGATATCGGCTATTCGGCTGTCTGGGTTGTCTGATCAAGCACAATTCAATAAACGGTGGAAGCCTCAATCAAAGCCTCATATAACACCATTTGGTTGCTTCAGCTTCTCTTCGCAGGGAGCTTGAGGAGAGTATGCTTCCTGTGGTGTGCTTGGGAACAGAGAACCACAAGTTTCAAAGGCGAACGGCTCAAGCGACCAGCCGACAAAACTTAGGGACAGCACCATAACAATTAGGGTAAAGGGTTTAGGGTTTAGGGTTCGGGTTTAGGGTTTGGGGTCCGCATGCGGGCAGAAAGAGCAAGAACAAGGAACTAGAGACGCACGAGCGACCTTCGAACCGTTCTCGAAACAAAGAAGCCGACCGCTCCGACAGGGCAGCTCCTGCAGTCGACTACCAGAAACCCGTGAAGTCCCAGAACCCGTCGAAGACATCGGAGGCCAGCGTGAGTGAACCAAGCGTTCATCCGGTAACCCAGGCTTAGTGGAGGAAGGTGCAACTTGAGGAGATCACCTTTCGGCAAGAAGATGCGCTTGCAGTCGTCTGTTGCGCAATTCCCCCACGAGTTCTCTCAGGGGTTCTTCCATCAAGGTCGTATGCTGGTCTTTATACCTCCGCAAAGGATCTCGCCACCATCAAGATTGCGACTGTACGTCAGCTTGACGCACTGAACGATACGTGTCAAGAATTTCTCTTGCGAGTTCAGTGCGAGCCTGGGAGTGCTGTTGCACAAACTCCCGATGACAACGGCTTTCAAGTCAAAACGAACACAGGCAAGAAGCTGCAAGGGAGTCTATGTATGCAGCACAAGCATATGCAGTCTTTACATTTGCCATGAAACGTTTTTTTGTTTTTTATTTGATGGTATACTATAGTATGTTGTAGCAACTTCTACGATTTCTGGACGCCTTCCTCGTAGTGACAGGTTGACCGAGGTCTCATCAACATTTCAACCGCAATTTCCCTTCAGATAGAGCGACCCGGGAGATCGTCGGGGTTCCATGTGGAAGAGCAAAACAAGCTGCAATGACACACACCAGGGTTGTTTTTTGACACCTCTTTGCCACCTGCCTGTTCAGCTAGGTTGAGCAAAGCAGGGTTTAGGATTTAGGGTTGAAGCTCAAACCTGTGAACGTTGGAGGTTCGCGTGTAGCGGATAGCAAAGATGCCGTGTTGGGTTTGCAACGACAGTCCCGAAGATTCCCGAAGCATGAAGTTTGAATGGATTTCGTGTCTGCGGATTCGGAGCACAATTTGGCAAAGTTGCCGCAGAGAAGCTTCAAGGGTTTTCATTGCTAAAGTTCGGCGTTCACTCGATAATAGACACGAGCGGCCTCGGCCGAACTATTCGGAGTATGTTAACAATCGATGCGAGACATTTGGGATACGCTTTAGGGGTTTAGGGTTTAGGGGACTTTGGCTCCTGACGACCGGAAAGCACTTGACTTCACCCGAGCGGCCGTGATCTGGAGGCTCTCATGATGCAGCCGCCACTCGAAGAGCCGCTCCGCGTTTGGCCGCGACTCATCCGGTGTCATGCCTGGAAGCGCAGACACTTACTGCCAGATGAATGTAGATTGTATTATTGTATGATCTTACATGATTACACTATGCTACACTAATCTATATATTTCATCATGTCATGTCGAATTGTGCTGTAGTAAGACGTCGCATGTATACTGTCTTAATTTTATCTTTTTTGAATTATGCCTAATTATGCCAGTTTTATGACATGTTGTGTTATACTTTACCATGCTATGCTGTACAATACTGTAGCAACTGTGCGTTGTGGTGTAGTGTAATACTCTATTAGGGGTATTTACATTACAACAGCTCGTTATCATTTTCTTGTCTTTTCGAATCGCTTAGGTTTTGCTGTCTTGTATTGTCTTCAGTTTTAGTGTGCTAGTCCTTATAGAACAGATTGTGAGACTGATATTGCTGTGATGATTTTCGTCAAGGTCACTACCATTCTCTTTCTCATGTTTGTTATGATCTATCTAGATTCAACAGTTAACTGTCTATATTATTTGTTCTTCCCATTGGCCCGCCATGACTATGAGCATTTCTGCCCGAAGGTTCTTCGAAGGGTTTTCCAACACTTGGCTGCTATTTCCTGCCGCGGCGCAGTAGGCCATGCAGATGCAGGAGAGGCAGGCAAGAATACCTGGGCAAGGAATCAGCCTCTGAGTGGCAAACTCCCGCTGTTGAAAGGCAGAACTTGAGGCTAAGCTGCGTCCGGAGCATGTTCAGTACACTGTTGGAGTGTACGGCTAGTGTCTCCAACTCCAGGTCGGGAGTTCAAGCCTCCTTAGAGCGATCTGGCCTGTGGAACTGCTCCGAAAACATGCCTTTCACATGCTGCCTTGTTGCCCCATATTAGAGTATATCTTTGTATACTATAGTATAGTATATTATAGTATAGTATAATATAGTATATTATATTATTGTATATTGCACCCAATGACTTCAGCCAGCACCAACATCTGGAAACAAAGCTGAAGGAAGGAGAATCCCCGGCACCCTGCTGATCCGTTCATGTGAGAGCTGCGAAAACGCAGCCAAAATCCCACGTCCAATGCACCACTAAAATGCCTGAACTCTTGGGACCAGAAAACCCTACACCCTCAACCCTAAACCCTAAACCCTAAGCCCTCAACCCTAAACCCTAAACCTAAACCCTGAGGGCATCTGAGGCCTGGACCCCACTGGAGGCCGCTCTGCCGCAGCCCACAAAAAACCCAGGCTGCAGCGGCGCTCGAGAGGAGGCGGCCCTGTGGAGAATCGAAGCTCGTAATGTAGAGCAGTAAAAACATGATTATAGATTATAAGGAACATAGCAACTACGATAAGACTAGTAATTGATAGTAATTGCTTAGCAGATAATTACCCTGAGAACTTGCAGCTGCTCGTCGCGACAGTGCTCTCGGCACATCCCCCATACTTTCAATACTCTGTGGTCGTGCGCTCCACACCCCAAAAGTTGTAGGCAGGCATGCCCGGAAGTTGCATCTTGCGTGGCAAAGATAGATTCGACTCCCAGCCCTGCAATCTACGAAGGACGGCAGTTCGAATCACAAAACCCGACAAACAATGTACTCAGTGTAGCATGCATTATCCTGATCAGCATTTATCAACCAAGGCTAGGCCGTGCGGTTCAAGCTGCACATCTGCAGATAACAAATGTCTCTTCACCGTAAACCGTCAACCCTAAAGGGTTTAGGGTTCAGGGTTTAGGGTTTAGGGTCAGAAATCTGGGCAGCCCTGCCTGGCTCAGCACTCCGTACGTTGCAGGATCCATTCGTGCTACGGCCATGACCTGCTTCAGATGATGGCTTGCCATTCAACTGTTAACTTCTTCAAAAAGTCATGAACTATATTTCTCTGAGCTACGCTACTGTGGCATCCTCAATCCCAGTTGAGAGGATCTGTAAGGTGCGCCGACAGCCAGTTTGGTTGTGCTGCGCATAGCACGTGCCGACCTGGATCTTTCCGAGTTTCTGTGGACAGAACAACCGACAACCCCAACAACCCCCAAAACATTCTCAAGCTCTGGCTCCTGCGCAGTCTTCATGTTGCTGGTATCTGTGCAGTCTGGATCTACCAATGGTCTACCTGCAACGGCCTCGCAAGCATCCGCCATGGCCCAACCAATGCCCGCAGGAGCGAACGTCAAGATCGAGCGCAAGTCGAAACAGCGCCTTCCGGAGAGATGATCGGCTTTCAATGCAGTCTAACATAATATAGTATAACGTAAGATAATATCATATGATCGGTTTTCAATGCTTCCATGCTTTCTGGGCCTCCGGCCCAGGAAGAGATTTCTGGGCACTTCGTCTGGGCCTCGTAGAGCTCGGTGAGTCGAGACTCTGGCTCTCCAATTATCCTTGATATTATCCTTCCGGTGGTTCTTGTAGTTACGTTATTATGATTATTGGTAGTAGGGTTGTTGTTATGACTGTTCAGCATTACGTTTAATTAGTGTTAGTATGCATTAGAGGCTCTCATGCTAAGGCCTGGCACAAACCGCTCGGCAAACGGACACCGCGTCTCATCCCAGCGGCCTCACATGGTGCCGACCCCCTGTAGCGGCACTCAGCAGTAGGCCCACTGTCGCGATGAGCAGCCAAGAAGCCTTCAATCTACGGGACTTGGGAAATCTTGTGCCACTACTGACCAGGAGTCCTGAAGGTCAGCTAGACCTACCTTGCAGCTTTGAGCTTTGCGACCTCCAGGTCTGAGCCATACTACCTCAAAGAATCCGGCCAAGCGGCCACGATGACTGAGCCCTCCTTGAAGGGACGTCCTCCGGGCAAGGCTAGACGACATGTGGTCTGCACGGCATCCGGTTCGCGAGCGTTTCCTTCTTGGGCTTTCGCCGATTGCGAGGGTGGCTTGGATGGCTGAGTATCAAGCGGATGAGGCTACACTCGGATCGAGAAAGAAGCGGGAGTTGCAGAACTTGTATTGGATCGTCTGACAGCAGGCTCCAGACGACTGGCCTCAATTGAAACTGGGGCCTGTGCGAGTCTGCGAGCTTAGCCGGCATTCAAGAACAACAATTGACAGTGTCATGCTGAGGCAACATCAACTCCATCTCCGGAAAGTGTGGGCGCTGACGCCCGGTCCGTACCCTGCAATAGGAGAGCTCGAATCTTAACTTCGAGTGGCCTTTGATTGCCACACCGTCGGCGCTGTGACCCACAATCTTCGCCCAGGACCTGAGCTCAACAACTCTAGGCCTGGGATCTTGGCAACTAGACAGCACCACATCGTCAACAATCCTGCTCACCTCAGGGCTCTTCGGGGTCACTTCGCTGAAACCCGGCCCGGCCCCAGCAGCCATGTGGCAGCTGCTGGAACCCTAAACTCACGAATCACTGAATCCCAAATCCCCAAACTCCAAGCTTCCCCCCCAAAAACGCGAACCCATTGAAAACCCGAAGCTCTCTTGCTCTACCCTAAACCCTAAACCCTAAACCCTATACCTAGACCTTTCCTCTCAACTGATGCAGAGGAAAGTAGCACGGTAAGTGGGCACGCTGCGTAGGTGCCGACCTCAGGAGCTCCGAGTGTTTCGGGAAGCTTACGGGGCTTCGGGTTTAGGGGTATTAGGGGTATTAGGGTATTAGGGGTATTAGGGGTATTAGGGTTTTAGGGTTTTAGGGGTATTAGGGTATTGGGGTATTAGGGTTTAGAGTGGGCTCTTCGGGCGTAGGACAGAGAGACTCAGCGGTATGTCTCTATGTCAGGTGGCATGAGGCAGCCCAGCTAGGCTTGATTGCAGCTGGATCGCAGGCATGTGAAGCAGAATACTAAGATTACCAGTGCTGTTACTGTCACTAGTACTACTACTGCTACTGCTAAGGGCTGATACCTTTCCCCAGATCGCTTCCCCCTCGAGCGTCGACTGGGGCCCACGGCGACCAGCAGAAGGGTCACTGCCTGCCTTGGCAGGAGATAATTCGACTCGAAAAGCAGTTCGCTACTGTATTTGGAAAGAAAAATGATGCGGCTTATCTTATGTATGATATACATATATACAGATATACATATATACATATATACATATATATATATACACATACACATATATATATACAGTATAGTATGCAGTCTTTATCGGGATGTTCGGGGCTCCGGGACTCGAAAGCTCTGCATCCAGGCGGCACGGCCAGTCCCAGCTGCGTTTGCAGCCGCTGCCAAAGACGAGGATCCTTGGCCTAGCAGCGTCGCTTGGCTTTAGGGTTTAGGGGTTTAGGGGTTTAGGGTTTAGGGGTTTAGGGTTTAGGGGTTTAGGGTTTAGGTGTTTAGGGTTTAGGGGTTTAGGGGTTTAGGGTTTAGGGAACCTAATATAGTACCTTAAATAGTCGGATCTTTATTATACGGACCCCAAATTAAGGTACCCCTTATTTTCGGAAACTCCCGTACAGCAGAGTAGAGCAGCACAGAACAGAATAGACCCGAACAGAACACAATGTGACATGACATCATATGATGTAATGCGATGGGTCATAATGAACTAACATGCAGTGTAGTTAAATATCACATTATATGATATGGTATAACTTGATTTAATCTGATTCTTAATTTTGAAATCATATCACAACATATGATATAATATGATATGATAGGGTATACTATACTGATATACTACGATCATCTGGTTATATAGCACAGGACAACAAGATGTTAAAACACGTACAGTGTAGTGTAATATAGCACAATGACATTTTTGCACAAAATAACCAAATGTAATGTAAGTATCACAACGAATCATAACATATAGGAACATACACATATAATATGATACAGTAGATATGATGTGATATGATATGGACAGTTCTCTAAAGGGTCCCTTTTTAGGGTACGTTTTAGAATGGTGCCGTACTAAATTGAGAAAGGACCCGAATTTAGCGGACTATCCATATGATACGATGGCATACAATACAATACAACACAATGCAATGCATTGTATACAATACAGTTTACTAGAGTAAAATCGATGCTGTGATATAGGCTGATACGATGTGAAATAATAAGATGTAGAACACAACAATATAATGTAATGTATTGAGATGCAACATGACAGGATATCATCCAGATATCATGCAGTGCTACATAAAATAGTATAGCATCATGTACCCAGAGATCCCAATACCCCTCAATTAAGGAATATACCTTAAACTATAGGGGCCTTAATATTATGATTTAAGGTACATTCCTTAATTAAGGGGTTTTGGGTTCTCTGGGTAATGTTGAAGGCTGAAGGCTTCTGGAGGTGAGGTCCCTGACGCAGTGCTGCAGCCTTAGCAACTGCGCAGCAGCCGGGGTTGAACCGCTTTGATAATAATAATAGAAATAAAAATAAAAAAAATAATAATAATAGTTAGAATAACAATAATAATAATAAGAATAATAATAAGAAGAATAATTAGAATAATAACAATTAGAATAATAATCAGAAGAAGCGCATCGGAGCAAACATGGCCTACCTTGCTTGAGCGCCCTTAAAATCAGGCCCTGCTACCGAACAATCCCTGGTTCTTTCTTGGGGCTCTTTATATGCCCTAAACCCTAAACCCTAAACCAGAAATCCTAATATTTTGGGGTTATACACATTGAACATTGTCTTCAGGGTCTGAAGGAAGGTCTTTCCCCGGGGGCCGAAGGTGCGAGAAAGCCTTGAGATCTGACTCCATCTCGGGACTCAGCATCCAAATCTTCCTGCCAAGGACGACGTAGGATTTCGGGGGCTTTTTTCTAAAGGGTTTTTTTGGGGGCTCGAAGAAACTCAAAGCTTCATGTCAAAAAAGGGGATGTCGAAAGTGCTGGGATGGAGGATGGAGCTGGCAAATGAGCAAGTATGAGACTTCAACATCGCAAGAACTTTGATTTGTCTTCCTCCCTAATGCTTCAACACAGTCATAGTCATGAGGGAGCAACATGCATCCGATCCAGCGGCACATTGGCAGCCCTTCCATTGAGTGGAGATTTCCAAGCTCGGCGGGCCGCCCACATCCAAACTCTAGTATTGCTAGCATTCGTATTCTGATTCTTGTTATTTCGAACACTGTCATTAGTGTGAATGATTATGTTGTTATCATTGTTGCTATTATCTCTATTCCCCTACGGAGCCATAAAGCCCTGTTGCACGAGGCGGAGTCCAACTCCGCGCCTCGGGGAGCGCGCGTCGAAGGTGGGCCAAGAGGCGCAGCCTTCGTCCAATAAGCCCAAAACCCTGGTTTAGGGTTTAAGGGGGTTTAGGGTTTAGGAAACCCTAATTATTTAGGGGTTTAGGGTTTAGGGTTCGAGGGTTTCTGGAGCTTCAAGGGTTTTAGGTGTCAGGATTGGTTCTTTCTTGGTTTGGCAAAAAGCTCGGCTTCAGGGTTGGGGTGTGAGAGTTTAAGATGCCTTAAGTCAATGGTTCGGGGCGTCGGCTTTAGAGCCAAGTCGAAGGTTTAGGGTCAAAGGTCGGAGCAAGGAAGGTCGTGGACATACGGATATAGAGGATAGAGAGATCCACTCCCTTTTTCAGAAGTATGCGTAGATTGGGTTTAGGCTTAGGCTTCAGGGTATAGGGTTTAGGATAGCTCCACTCCAACGCAGGGTTTTGCGCTTCAGCGCCAGTTGCAGACTGAGGTGTATAATTATTGTACTGTATTATGATATATGATGATGGTACAGGGCCATGATTCTCAAGGGTTTCAGATACAACGCGTCTGAAAGTCCAACACAGCATGTAGACTGCATGCTCAGGTCTTCAACCCAGCAAAGTCTGGCCAGGCAGCGCGACATCTGCGACGAGTCGAGGCGTTTGCGGGAGGTGGTATGCTGCACCTTCAACATGAGCAGAAGCGTAGAGTGATTTGGGTGAGGCCTGGTGCGAGGCACGTTGGGATACATCCTACCTGACTTTGCACCCCTCTCCCAAGTCTGCAGATCCGGCACCGGAGAGAAGAAGTCCACAGGTGGCGCGGAGACTTCATCGCTGACGAGGTCGGAGACCTGCACGTGGACGGCTGCAGCCCACGGAATTCCCAAAAAACGCCGCAAAGACAGGGCGCCTCACCATGCGCGCCGCTGGCGAGTCCGGTTCTCCACTGCAGGTTCCTCGCGCATCGACGTGAGCTCCCACGGTTAACAAGGTTCTCGCATTTCACCGGTGGCACCGAACCCCCTATAAGAGACACGATGGATGTGGAAGCATGAAAGTTGGAAGGATTCGAAATGCGGATCAGGGGCAGGAAGGAGCAAGACGCAGCCCATGCAGAATATCATAAACCCGGCATGCCGGACGTGAGATGTCATACCTATCCAGATCGCAAAAGCACGGTTGAACCGCTGACAATGGCTCGAAGGGTGCGACGAAAAACGGCTGACACAATTTATGCAAACATCTGCAACATGTAGGCGGGTTCCCTTCCTTTTCAAGAGTTCTTCGGACATCCTCGGAATTTGAATTGACCATCTCAGGTAAAGAACCTGCAAAGTCCACAGGGCAAAAGAACGACCCACGACCCGGCCGCCCCTCTGCAAATGGAACCCTGGCCTGTGCCGGTACTCGAGCCATTCTGCCGGGTCCTGGCTTGACACCGTTCTAAGCGAAAAGCTCGAAATAAAGGTCACATGATCTCACATAGCCAGATCGTTCCCCTAACATATTTCTCTCCTAGGGGCCCCGAAACCCGATATTCGAGGCCTGAGCCTTTTGGACTCCACTCCCATACACCCTGCGTCCGAGCCGCATCCACACCATCCAGCATGAGGGCAGACCTGAGCACATCCGATTCGAGCTCAGGGCTCCTCGTCGGACAAGGCATATGTCCTTTTTGGGGAGATGTGGCCCCATGTCTCCACCCTCCCCTTGCTTCGGACGGGTCAGTTCCGCAGTGCGGGTGAGGCTTGCATCTCCGAAGGTCTGAGCTGACGTTGGAGAGGATTAGGGTTCAGGGCCAGGCATGACACGTACTGACACAGCAGCATCATGTTCGATCATGGTCACTGCTACCAGGTTGCTTTGTCAGCAGCTCCCATAATGTTTTGAGATGTCCAGCCTTGCGAGACGTCCCGAGCGTGGAACTGTACGGATTTCGTCGCTTTGCGGTGAAGAGTTGCAGCATTGAGGGTTGTCCACTTGGCAAGTAAAAGGTGTGAGAGAGAGAGGTGGTGATGCGGGCCATTTGTCATTTGCAAAGGAGGTTTTAGCCGAAAGCAGCTGAGTCTTCAAACACTACTCCCTTCGGACTAGCACTGCAGCCTTGCTGGCTGGCTACTGCTGATGCTGGCTGATCCTAACACTAATCCTAGAGCTACAGCTAATCCTAACACTGAAACACGATATGCCTGGCTTTCCGTGTGATCTGCCATCGCTTTTGAGGACGGCTTCTTCGACCTGAGCGTCCCCCGAGGAGAGGCATATTATCTTAGGTTCTGCTATCGCGGTGTTATATAACCTTATGCTATGATATCGTATGTTAGGTGATCTTATCTCATATTACACGTATCGAGTTCTGTCCACTGTCACCAAGCCGCAGAACACTTGATGTGTGTGGCAAGAGCTCAAGGGATCTAGCAAGAATAGCCGGAGCGGCAGACACGTGCAACTTGCCGCCGACATGCAACTTGCTAGCAACCACCTCGTCGTTCCACCACTGCTTGAACACACTTCATCTGAGAGGCATCTTTCTCGCCATGGACATGGAAAATCGATCACGCAGGTGCGCAGCAATTCAGAAGCTCGTGGAGTATCTGTGCATGTAGCGTTATATGCCCGTGGCTTAAACCTCCCAGTCTACACGATCACATGCTGCTTAGTAACGCTACAAGCTAGGCTTGATGGATGCCTCGTGCGTGTCGAGCTGTCGCTGGGAAGTTAGGTAGACATGACACACAATGCGCATCATCGGACGATGATTACTTTCAAAAGCAGTGGAAGATCGCTAGCAACTGCAAGCCAAACGCAAGCCAAAAAAGAACATGTTACATGTCTCCATTCCAGCAGTGCGTCGAGAGGCACTCCGGTCATGCTGCGTCGGCTACAAAAGCACTGCGGCAAAGCTGGGAAGCGCAAGACTCTCTTTGCAGCTCCGCCGGTTGAAGTCTTCAGATATATGCACTGCTGGGCCCAGAAGCCTCTCTTTCAGCCGGGCCAGCAGATGCCTAAGAAGCACATCGGGAGCTCCTGAGAAACTCCAAGTTGTAGATATTGTAGGGGGCCTTCAGAATTAGAATACGGGGGTTTTAGGATCCTGTAGAGTATAGTTATAATAAGGAACCAAGGAATAATATCGGTAATTATTTCGGCTTCTGCGTAAAATAAAAGCAAGGCGAGTCCTCTTTGAACTGGCCTCGGGCTCTGCGGGGAAACCTAAGCTCTCCTCAAGCAAAGCGCTTCGGGTCGAACTTCGCCATCATGCGCTGCTGCAGCTCCGTTCGATCCTGGGAAAAGCAGCTTTTTTTGCAGTTCTCGGTGGTTTGGAGTGACGGTTTTGACAGAGAGCCGTAGTTCTGTCCGATCTTTGAGATCGCTTTACTTGGCTTGCAAGCTCATTCGATACGAGCGAGCCCTGGACTCTGAACTCGAAGAGTCCCTTAATTCACCAGACACCTCTGGTTTTCGGAAGAAGGCGGAAGAAGGCAAGACCAGTGCCACGGAGCGGCCGACGATCCAGCCACGAGGGCGGCGAGCAAGTCGGCGACGGCAGGTGCAAACCTTTTTCTATCGTTTCGGCTACAAGGAAGTCTCCACTTGACCGCTCCAAGCAACTGCTCTTGTGCAGGGGGCCGCATAGTTTCGAAGCCTGTCGCTTCTTTCTCTTATATGTTCGAATGACTTGGCAAAGGATCTGCCCGAGTGACAGTGCACACATCACCGAAACACTTCCGCTGAGTCGAAGCCATTGCATCAGGGTGCCCCTTCGCTTTTCCTTGATGTACTAGAAGCAGTAGATAGACGCTGGACAGCATCGGGTGTTCAACGGTGTGCTTCAAGCTTCCTACTCGGCTTCGTCCATGCCCCTTCTATGAGGCTTGAAGGTTCAGGGTTGGCAGAGGAGCTGGAATCCAGAGCCACTGAAGCCACAGGCCAACACCACGCTGCGATCCTCAGAGCAGCTTGCAATGGCAGTGCAGTCGAAGGGGTCTCTCTTTCTCTCTCTCTCCCTCTCCCTGGCATGAGGGTCGGTTAAGACCTCCGGGCCGCAGGCCCATCCGCATATATTTAATACAGGCTGAGGGGTGTGAGAAATGACTCAAGTCATATAATGTACTACAACGAATAGGAAGTATGTATGCTCTCTGGGACAAAGACTCCCCCTTCTACCGATGTTGCTCTTTTCAGTATGGACATAATAGCCGAATAAGAGCTAAAGAGGAGCAACATCAGTTGTTTCCCCTATGATCGATGAATTGTCGATTGTGAATGGATCAACTTTATCTTGTTGGATGTGTGCAGAGAGTGAGAGTAAGGGTTAAATCGACCATGCAAGGTCTAGCCATCAGCTGGTGTCTCCAGAATTGCTGGTCATCGGTGCGGTGCCTAGCTTCCGCTTGCTGCTGATTCTGGTCATGCTCTTAAATTGTGAGTGTAGTTCAACTCAATCTGTGTAGCTGAGCTGGTGCTTCAAGCATTCTTGATATTCTTGGACTTCTCCTCAAGTTTGTGTCATGTCATGATGTGGCTGTCTTTGTTGCTCAAATGCTGAAGTGAGTGGTCCTTGAGTGATGGATGCGTAGATTATGAATATCATTACACGTCAATGTCAACAATAACATAGTCCTTGGACGACATGCTTCAGAATAGTAGTAACCAACTATGTAACACATTGACAGCTCAGATATATACCTTATGCACGTAGCCATTTCCAAAAGGCAGAGTGCCATTTCACAGAAGGCAGAGTGCCTGTGAAGTGGTGGATCAGGATACACTGCCGGTGCACCTGAGTCTGCTTGGCAGACTTTTTGGGCAAATGTTCGAGCTGGACATCTCAGATGTGAATTACATGAGACGAGCACAACAGAAGGAAGTTTGGTCATGGGCAGACAGCAGTACTCTACAAAGCCAAGGCCCCTTGAGAGTTCGGTGTCGCAAAGTGGTATTGTCAGCTTGAAATTCACTGCGAAGGGTGGAGAACCCGACACTTGCCGATGGGTCCAAATAACCCGGGAATACATTGGTCATGGACAGAGCCGGCATTCGATGCTGGGGAGAAACCGCCAACCGATGGTCATGAGTATTCTGCAGATCCTGAAGTTTCTCCGCATTCCAGAGAAGGAATGGCAGAGTGCCGAAGTCTTGACATGTGAGGGCCTTGCCCACAGAGCTCTGAAAATCTTGTTCGACTGGCGTTTCCTGAATAGTTGGACGTACACCAAACACTGGAAGTCGTTTTCCCTCCCGTTGGCTTGGAGACTTGATGCTTTGATGACCCACCACTCGACTACAGCGGCACCCTCGACCAGACGTTCGGTGCTGGTGACCGAGGCGAAAGGGGACGGGACCCATTTGGGCAAGTTCCTGCACGGCCGACTCTGTAATCCATCGAGGTTCTCTGAGAAGAAGACAATGCTGTTGGTCTTCAAGGTCTTCAAGTACATCTTGGACCTCCAATTGTACGCTCTTCGCAAGGAAGGGTGTATTCTTGGCGACTCCCATGACAACAATATCACAGTCATGGCAGGAGGGGACGACCCGAACGATGTCCCCTGGTGGACTGTTCTGGCTGTTCTGGGCTCTCTGAAGTATGGGTAGGCCTGCCTGCTAGGTTTTAAGGGCGCTTGGTGCGGCTTGGTGTTTTTTTTGGGGGGTTTGGTGGGGGGTTTGGGGGGGTGTAGGGTCATGCATTGGAGTGGTGCGGTGTGGGGTTTCGTTGGCGGGGTTGGGGATGCACTGGAGGGTTTGGGAGAGGTTTGGGGCAGGTTAGGCATGCATTGAAACTGAATTAAGTAACTGAACTACTACAATCCGTTGGACGGCCGAGGGTCGTGTAGGTTTTAAGGGCGCTTGGCGGGGTTTGGCGGGCGGTGTGGGTTGTGGAAAGGATTGGGGGGATTTAGGGGGGTTTGAGGGGCTGGGCATGCATTGGAGTGGAGTTAAAATACTTTGCTACGA